CCAGCAGGCGTGCATGAGCGTGTTCAATAGGAGTGAATGGAGACGAATGGTATGTGGGACCTGACGATCTGTCGGAGTGTGAGCAGGGTAATATTTAGGGAAGGGATTCAGGGAAACCGGTTATTTTTATATAGCCAGACTTGAGTCCTGGAAATGGGAAGTACAATGCCTGCACTCTAAAGAAGGGGTTTGGGATATTAGCAGTTTGGAGGGATATGTTGTGTATCTTTATACATATATGCTTCTAAACTGTTGTGTTCTGAGCACCTCTGCAAAAACAGCAATTATGTGTGAGTGAGGTGAAAGTGTTGAATGATGATTAAAGTATTTTCTTTTTGGGGATTTTCTTTCTTTTTTTTTTGGGTCACCCTGCCTCGGTGGGAGAAGGCCAACTTGTTAAAAAAAAAAAATCCGGACAGTGCTATACTGTGCTTGGAGATAATATAATGCATAATAAGCATAACTGGCAAATGGCAAGTAATACTCATTTTCACTTGTTCAGGAATCAGACGTGATCGTATGTAATACCAGTTGGTTCATGAGCAACTCTCTGAGACAAGAGAAACACGCAGACAGAAAGACAGACACACACACAGGCAGACAGAAAGACAGACACACACACAGGCAGACAGAAAGACACATACAAAGGAAGGCAGAAAGACACACACACAGGGCAACAGAAAGACAGATAAGCAGACATAGCTAGACAGACAGACAGGCATGTTTATGTGTAATAGTGAAAACAAACAAAGCCAGGGGTTCCCTGCAGCAATGCACGATCATCAAGTGTCAAATCACTGCTGCACTGTCAGCAGTGTAGTGACACTCAGTCTTACGCCATGCTTCTAAAACATTGCTGGGACCTATAAATACTTTGTATATATTCCTAGACAATAGTAAATGACCAAGGCAGGTGTAAATGTTCATCTGTCAGTGTGTTTGTGACAACTTGAGTACAATTTTAGTACCTAATATCAGTGTCAGAACAAAGAATGGCTATGAAATCACAAGAACTACTACAAATTGTAATTATAAGAACATAAAAATTATATAAAATATAAAAACGAGAAAAAAAGGCATATCGACAACACTTCTTCAGGTGAGCAACCAGCACCAACTTTGCGATCTTATATCTCAGTAACTACTAGTCCTAAAAAAAATTTTTTGTCTTATTACACACAGAAAATTGCCCTCTTTATTTAAAAAAAAAAATCAAAATATTCGGAGCACTTGGCGAGCGAACACAGATCTACGTTTGGACAGTTAAAGGGTTAAAAAGTCTCGATTCTAGGTAGGCAAGTAGGAAGGTAGGTATTAACCCACTGAAATTAACAGCCCAAATAAAATTTATCTAAATATACAGGAGGGATAAAGAACAACGAGGCACAATACCGTGACTGGAACAATACACAAATAACCCGCACATAGGAGAGGTCCAAGTCAGACTGAAACGTCGTCGTAAGCTACCCTCTCTTACGTGTGAGTTATCTGTGTACAGGAGGGAGTGGGTAAAAAAAAAAAGGTTTCGAGTGCTAGGGACCATGTGTGAACATGTTAGATTGGAGTGAAGCCAAGTGATTTTCACAGATTGATGCGCTGTTGGAGCGTGAGCAGTACAACATTTATTAAGGTATTTAGGAAAACCAGTCAGCTGGAATTTGAGTCCTGGAGGTGGGAAGTACCATGTTTGCACACTGAGGGATGGGTAGGGAATGTTGTAATGCCGAGTCATCTGAACTGTGCTGTCTGCATGTTTCTGGTGAGACAGGGCTTGAATGATAGTAAGTGTATTTCCCTGTTTTGGGTCATCCTACCTCAATGGAAGCGATGATGTGAAAAAAAATTAAATACAGAACAGCTGGATACTTGAGTTTGTATAACCATGTGATACCGTCTCAGTGGTTAAATACTATGTGATGATCTTTCATGCTAATGTGAAAATCCTACATTTGAACAGGTGGATACTATCCTAAGTTACTGGGGTCATGTTACAAAAAACACAATTCTAAAAATTAGAATATCCAGGAATACTAAAGGATCCCTTCTAGCATCCAGCCATGTATACTGGGTTTTTGTAACAATTAGTCATATCCTTGTCAATTTCATTAGAATTCCGTATGATCATTGTGCTTCAGGATACAACTGGTAGGCTACTAACTAAGAATTAAAATTTAATAAATTTATTAAGTTAGAGTATATCATCAAATAAATTAAATCATCAGATTCCAAACAATTGTAAAATAATCACTATCTCTCGTACACAATAAGAATTGTGCATAATTAGCACATATCACATTTATAATTCTTAAGTACCGTCTGGTAATTAACATTTAATAAGATATTACAAATATTACAAATAAGTTTGTAAATATGTGTGTACATGCACTAATAGTTCGCTATGTCTCACTCTCGATAACTTAAATAAGTGACTGACAAAGCCCTCACATAACTAACTTCTTAGTACCAACTGGCAATCAGAATCAGTCTGCTTGAACACTAAAAAGAATGCTAAGCCAATAGCAATATAAACAAGCAACTGTGACACAATCAAGAACAAGGAGATGAATATAACGGCAATAAGAAGGACCATCTGCAGCCCCACAAAAGTCACAAAACTACCCATACTACTGAATTAAGTTCAGCATAAGAAAAAATCCCCGACTGTGCAGTACAACAGATCCATACAAATTAAGTCAGAAAGCTACAGCTCAGGACCTGAATTACTCAGAGTGTCTATGAAACACACGACCTTAGTACAACGTCGAAAATCACTAAGTCTATACAATGTTCTGTGAACAGAGTCTCCAGAACTAACAAGAATAATGAGACAGACGATCTGTCCAATCACCAAGAGAGTCTAGACCAGACTGAATACTTCAGGCGAGGTGAGGACACCCCCCCCCTCGATCACGTGATAGCTCCGTGGGTCGCTGCCCAGCAAGAAGCCGGCAGGGAAACGAGCAAAGAGCGATAATTACAGTAGTTAGACAATCAAGATTTGAACTGAGCACATAATATGTTACATCCTACCTAACAACATAACTAAGTCAAATAATAATATAAAGCAATACATTTACGATTTAGCTATTATCGCAAATATAAGCAATATAAAATTATATGAAAAGATAATATACATGTATTATAAATAAATATGCATTGCAACCCATTCAGGGGTTGCAACAGTCATCATAAGATTAAGACCTATGTTGGAGTCACTGCTGTTTCCTGACAAACAAATCACTACTACCCTTGCAAAGTTAGTCTTGGTGCTCAAGAGAATCATGTGGATTCGATGGAGATAAATGGTATACAATACAGACACGATGGAAATATAGACACAAATATGGCATACTGCAGTAAAATAAAGGGTTGCAGTACACTGTATTTTTGTCTGTTTTTACCATGATGTTTATTCCTTGGGAGTTGGGGATACTGCTTTCTACCGAGGCATCATTTTATTGTTAAGTTAATTGGCAAAACTGACAATTTGTATAGAATATTACAAGAATTGGTATAATAAATTCAATAACATAATTATATACTGTACATCAACATACCTATTGGAAAGATAGTATTTCTTGATGTTTTGGGCACTCAGTATGTCCTCTCAAAGCTTGGAGTGGTTTTCCGGGAGAAAAGTCATAAAAAGTGAATAGAAATCAGGCCAGCCACACAAGAATCCAGGCAAGAAATGTATGTTCCTTGACAAATGGTCTGGGTATCATGCCAGTAATTATTTCTGAGGTGAAGTTTCCCTTCATCTGTGAATACAGAGCGACATAAACACGTTATCTGAAGAGCAACAGCTACCCTCGAAAGACTTCAAGCTATATGTTATGTTCTTACTGTAGTTAATATTCTTGTGATATACATATTATAGTCAGAATGGTTTTAGTGCAGAATGAATTAATGTTTATGATATATAAACTATACTCAAAACAGTTTTAATGCAGAGTTAGCTAATATTTTTTTAAATATTTGATATTTCTACACAAGTCTAAATGGAATTTATATAGCTTTCAGTTTATAGGGTTTATTTTTTGATAAATATAAAAAAACTCTCTGCATGTTTTGAAAATTTATTACATGAAAGCTCAGAAGGTTTTATGTAGACATGCTATTACAGAATATAAATTTAAAAGAGATACCCTTGACTAGTAGAACCTGGTAGAGGCAGAGACCTCTCCCCAGACAGTCTAGGCAACCTAGAAAATATATTTTGAGATGGTTCATATAGTTTGTAGCTTCTTCTTCAAACATTTAATTAACTTTAAATAATAAAGAATAAAAGAAGCATTTTTTATTTGTTTGTTTTACTTTCTTTATAAAGCACTAGAACTGGACTGATTACATTGACTCCAGGCTGAGGGACTGATTACGTCAAACTCCTTCTGAAATTCACCATTCTTCTTCGTATTGGACTGAAGAAGTCACTGCATGGTGAAACATTTACACAATAAACATACCTAAATGTTGCACAGGTGTCTAATTATCATCCAGTTAGCAAGATAATTGTGAACCTTAACACTGGAGTACATGAATGACAGATTTTCATTATCTGAGGCTCTTTTTTTTTAACCACACTGGTCATTTCCTGCAAACGAAGGGCGATATACAATAAATGAACTATGTCGGATAATATACAGGACAGCCCCTCATATACAGCACGTTCTTTTCAGTGTTCATTGTTTTCATTGGCTCGAAATCGAGCCATTGTTCATTACATTCCATCCACCAGTGACAGTCGCCAATGAGTGGAACAATGATTAACTAAAAGCCAATAAAAACGTGGAACACTGAAAACAGATGCTGTATATGCGGGACCCTCTTTACTACATTAAATTATCCAACATTTCATCAGATACTGCAACATTCAAACCTTCCAAGATTATTTTCAAACAAGCTGACCAAAAAAGTGTCATCAATCAAGAGAACCAACACTTGAACATTGCTAAAATATTATTAATTCCCTTAATATATTTATGAAGGAATCACAAAGCTTTATGAAGTTATTAATATTTATTTGTATAAAACGAGACATTACTTGATTACAGTGTGATAAAGGTATACAATTTATCAGGTATAGAAAAATAATAAAGAAAATTCTCTATACAATTTATCAGGTATAGAAAAATAAAAAATAAAAATTCTAGGCCATCTGATAATCTTCTACAGGACTAAACAATATATATCCATGATGTAACAAACTTTTTAAGTACCAGTAATACATAGGAAATTGCCCATTCACACAGAAAAATATTAGACACGAACAGTATACAAAAATGCACATCCTGTATATATAAATATGACCAAAACTTCCTGACATGCAATAACGATGCATTTCACCCAAAACTGTTTAATAAATGCAACAGCGTTCACAGATTGAGATTCAGCAAAAAAAAAAAAAAAAAAAAAAATTCAATGCCTAGCGTACAGCTGCCTGTATATTAACAAACGCAACTTGCAAGACTTCTCTTTTTGAGTAAATGTATTAGGACACTGAAGTGTCATAATGCATCTCAGACATTAAAATCTACATTATTGCAATTTAAAAAAAAAACTATATCCTATTCATAAAATATGCATGTAAATTTTTGCTTAATTTTTCAGGGATTTTGTCAATTCATAAATTATGGATAAATAAGTTCAAGTATAGTAGAGTACTTCATAACATACAGAAATTTAATAAATAAACAAATGAACCTACAAATCACAATAAATAAATGCTATATCCATTTATAAAGTAAAATATAAAAGTATCTTTGCTTTCACATCTATTTAAACGAAACAAAAAATCGCCCTCCCTCAAACTCAAGCTTTAAAACTGGTCTAATTATTGCATTAAAAAATTTATATTCCGGACCTTCTGGTATGTGCAAGAATACTGACAAAATAGTCAGGAACAAGAATGCAATATATGGATGAGTCAATTTGCCAATTCTCTCAACATTTTTTGTGTTCATGATGTGTTCAAACCAACTGTATTGAACTTAATGTCATAGCACCCATGAGAATCAAGCAAACTTACCAAATTTGCAGCTTTTTAAAGTTCTACCATCCAATTTCAAATATCATGGTTTGTGTACAAAAGTAATGTATGAACATTCATATTAATTTTATTTCGTAAATGTAATAATTTACAATGCACCATATTTACATTATAAGCATCTATGACAAACTATTTATTAATTGCAACTATTCTCACAGCAAATAAAACGCTAATAAATGGTGCTTGAAGGGGATTAATATCTTAATATCACATACTGATCATAAAGAAGTTGGTAATACCATTTACTTTTTCTCCTGGAAGAATTACAACCCCAACCCCTTTAAAGCAAGGCACTTACACAATTTGAATGGAAGAATTTCCACCATTTGGGTGACTGTCACTTGTTCTCTGTTGCAGCACCCTCAGCTGCGCCTCAATCTCCTGCAGATTCTTATCGGCACTTTCCACCTTGTGGGCAACTAACTTCCAGTAAAAATGGAGAGCAAACAGAGTGAACAACAGGACAGTTGGCACCAGCAAAATTGTTGATCCAACTGCAGCACTTCTGGAGTAGTCCAAGAACTTCACCCAACTCAGAAGACCAATCTCCACAAGAAACAGTAAGATACCCAAAACAGTTGAAAAGCTCCAAGCAGCCTCGATGTACCTGTGGAAAACAAATGAAGGTGTTATTTCAGTAATAAATAAAATGCCCATCAAATACTTAACAATTCTTAAATATCTCCACATTTTTTTAAATTTACAATTCACCTAATTGCTGTCTTTCCAGAAGTGTTGTTGCCATCGTGACCCAGTTACCTTCTGACTGCAAAAATCCCCACCCTCCTTCAGAGTGAAGGCACTGTCCTTTCCACCTCCAAGACTCAAGTCTGACTAACTGGTTTCCCTGAATCCTCTCATAGAAGTTACCTTGGAGTATGAGAGAGACGAACATTTATGAAGGGATTCAGGGAAAAACAGTTAGTCAAACTTAAAAAGAGAGTCCTGGAGGTGGCAAGGCAGTGCCTGCACTCTGAGGGATTGGTGGGGATTTTGCAGTCAGAGGGTAATCTGGCTACACTTCTGGAAAGACAGCAGACGAGTAAAAGAAGGTGAATGTGCTTCCTTTGTGGATCACCCTGCCTTGGCAAGACATGGCCAGTGATAAAAATAAAATAGAGATGCAAGACCTATAGCTATTCTCTATGACATTACCATAATGCTAGTCAACACATGCTGACCTGCAGAAGGCAACCCAGTTCTTTTAAACATGTTTATTAGCCAAACAGAATAGTAAACAGAGTAAGCCTCAAGTTAACCTCCTCCAGAATTAACAAAGTAAGCCTCAAGTTAACCTTCTCCTCCAGAATTTAGCACTATTTCAAAAACTTAAATATTTAAGAATGCTTGTATCACCCTGAGATACAGGTGTGCATATCATTTTGCAAGATAAAACCCTTCAAATTAGTAACTGGAAATAATTTTTTTAACACACTAGGTGTCTCACATGGAGGCAGGGTGACCCAAAAAAGAAGAAACAAATTTTCTTTTTATTTTACACATTGGCCATCTCCCACCAAGGCAGGGTGACTCAAAAAAGAAATGCTTTCTCCATCATTCAACACTTTCGTCATCATTTTACGTTTAGCAATTTATCGAGAAGGGGTTACTAGCCCCTTGCTCCTGGCATTTTAGTCACCTCTTATGACATGCATGGCTTATGGAGGAAGGATTCTTCTCCATTTCCCCATGCAGTGGAAATAATTATCATTATAATATTCAAGGGAAAGCACCAAACCAGAAAGAGGGTCATACAGCACTTAGGAAACGGAGGTAATAAGGTTTGATCTATGGAAGGGAAGAACAGCATCAACCCCCTTTGAATCAAATGCATTCACTAACATCAAGGTTCTTATAACTTAACCCCTCAAGGAAGGTTCCTTGATGTTGGTGAGGGGCTCTTGATTTAGGGAATTGGATCTGTGCTCCAGTTACCCGAATTAAGCCTGAATGCCTTCCACATCCCCCCCCCCCCTCCCAGGCGCTGTATAATCCTTCGGGTTTAGCGCTTCCCCCTTGATTATAATAATAATCTTATAACTTAAAGGGTATAGGAAAATAAGACTGTACCAACTGGACAAAAATATATGTCTTGAAAAGAACAAAAAGGCACAATACCATGACTGGAACAATACACAAATAATCCACACACACAGGACCAAGAAATTTATAACGTTTCAATCTGACTTGGACCACTGACTATTCACATTGTGACCAGTTAATAGACCAAGTCAGACCAAAATGTCATAAGCTTCTTTCTCCTATGTGCAGATTATTTCTAAATATGTTCTTCATTGTGCACTAGCCCCATCAATCTCAAACGAGTACTATGAAGCTTTATAATTAACCTATGCATTGTAAGGTGTGGCGACTCAGATATATCTGCAGTGGCACCGTTCAGGTTGGTCATGGAATCAACATGTGCCATATTGGCAACAGCTTCTATATGTGGCAGTACACAAGTAGAGATCATAAGAGCTAGCAAGTGCACTGCTACCAGCAATGTTGTGCACACGCTGAAGGCAATCAGAAGAACATTAGGAACATTGCTACACAGGTGAGCCTGCTGGGGTTCCTTGTCTCTGCAATGATGGGTCAGCTGAACCTCAACCATGGCAACCTGAAGAAAGTAGAAAAAGAAACATTATTGGTAAAGTTATTCATATGCTTTCTCCAATCAGAAAGACAAACTAAATGCTGTTTTGAAGAATACATATGTGGTATATATTAAAAACTCTAACAATCAGAATCTCTGTGGCAGGATGTATCTTTTGAGGCTCCAGAGTGAAAATTCAGTGTTACTGGAGATCTCTTCATAAAAATTTAATTTCTCTTGTCTGTGGGATGGGCTATCCTGAGAGATAGCAGTCCCCAAGTGATAGTAACTGCAGCTATGCTGGAAGAAAACCTTTGAAGCTGCCATAGCTGATGAATCCTTGCTGAAACACTAGATCATATCCTCATTGCCTACCTTGAAAGAGCCCCATCCTGCATGATGGAATATGACAGGGACACATAGCTGGCTTTTGTTTCCACTGAGTAATTATCATACAGAATAGGACAGCAGCACACTGCTGATGTATCTAACTAAAAAAAAAGACATGCTGGCTGTCTCCCACCGAGGCAGGGAGACCTGAAAAAGAAATGCTTTCACCATCATTCACACTATAACTGTCTTGCCAATAAGCGTAGATGCGACAGTTTAGATGTCCCTCCAAACAGCAACAGCCAAGCTCTTCAAAGTCTCCTTGCAAGCACCTTCCAATACTCATACTGTATAATTGCACTTAAATCTAACAACTAAGCACAGTACAGGACTGTATATGGATACCTGCTAAGTTATAGCAGCTGTGAAAAATTACTTACAATGTATCAAATGGTGAAAATAACAGGTATAAAATACCAACATGATGGAAAAATGAACATAAATACAGCATAATGTGAGTCTTTATTGACTATGTTTCACCCCACAAAGTGGGCTTTATGAAGTTACAAACATAGTCAATAAAGGATCACATTATACAGCATTTGTGTTTAAATTTACATCAAATGGTAATTGATTTCCAGGTAGCCACATCATCACACAACGTAAGTCCCTTTTATACATATTTTATATTCTAGAGATACACAAGGTTCTGTACTTGCCCTCAATGATTTTTTTAATTTATATAAATGATTCATCTGAAGGAATAAAATACTATATGAATATATACTGTACATACACTCTAAACGAGAGGTTTTGGGTAATTTGCTGTTTAGAGGGACATCTAAACTGTCATATCTGCTCACCTCTGGCAAGACAGTGATAGTGTGAATGATGGCGAAAGTGTTTCTTTTTTGGGTCACCCTGCCTTGGTGGGAGACAGCCAGCATGTTAAAAAAAAAGAATATATCTGCAGATAATTAAAATAGGATAAAAATACTGAAGCAAGAGTTGATTAGATGTTAGAACTTTACCTCCTATACCATGAGCTGCTACTTTTCTTAAGTCTTTTGTGACAAACTCTATCAAAGACTTTACTGAAATCCAATTACAATACAGATTTGATAAAACACCTTGCATATTTTATAGATCGAATGATGGAAAAAAAATTACCATTGCAAATCCTGAGAGAAGAGCAGAAGTTCGACTTGAAGCCTTAAGCTTGGCACGGCTCAGGTGCAGCTGGCGTAGTGTATACATTCCCATTGCATTGGTTGTTGGAGGCACCAAGCGCATGGAAATCTGAAAGAAAGAAATTATTATTATTATTATAATAAAAACGAAGCGCTAAACCATGAAAGAAAGAAATAAAACTAAATATGCACCAATTATATGGCATGTCTGTTATCAAACACCTGATGTAATTAACATCTATTCTTGTGAATTATCACCACCACCAATTTTGACTACCTAATTAATTTAAAGTATAACTGACAGTATAGTTAAGTCTACTATCTTTACACATCAGGTTGTGTCAATCTTAGCTTTCAAGCAACCTAAACATTACCTATGTATTTTTTTATAAATTTTAAGACCTAGTCTAGTGACACGCCCTAATTTCATACCGATGTATTTTCTTTTATAAATTTTAAGTCCTAGTGTTAAGTCCTAATTTCAGGATACTAGAAATGTTCTGCATAAGCAATGACTTGTAACCTATTGTAACCTAATGTATACTGTCTCTTAGGAAATAAACTTGTAACCTATTGTATACTACGTGCTCTCTTTAGTAAATAAGCTTTATTTTCATTTTTAAATGTACAAAAGGTTGGTGCTCCACTGGAGACAAAGACTTAGCACAAAAAAGTGTATAGTATATAAAAGTGAAGTAGCGCTTAGAAGAGGAAACCAAAAACAATGATACAAACGATGTAGAGTACATTATAGCTACAAATAATCAGTATAAATAATGAAAAGCTCAGTAACTACAGTAACTATAAATAAATGCATCATACAAGACAAAAAATAAAGATAGCAGCCAAACAGGCACTTTTAAATTGAACCTAACTTAAGCACACTTCAAGGTTTAAGTCATTATGATACAGTTCAGTATGGCAAATACTATACAGTAGTGGTACGAATTTAGGTTTCTGGATCCCAACCCCTTTATTCCATTATTCGTGTACAGCTGGCCAGGATGTAAACCATGCTATGGGATTTATATTAGCACTGTACTGGCCAAATTGTAGTGCCTTTCAAAAAAATATACTATCCAAAGTGTGTTGCATTTATCGCAAAATACTGTAAAGTATTTGTTCATACTACTACTAGGGAGTTCTGCCCTCTCGAAGTCCAACTTGTCCTCTGCAACAACAACAAATAGCACCATTAACACTCGGCTCTCAGCACAAAGAACACGTTGTGGAGAAAAAAAGGTTGCTAGTAATGTAATACAGATGCTTCAGCATTTATAAGCAAAGTAGGAGGGGAGTACAAGTAGCATTCATGGGTTTTCTTAGGGAAATTAAATAAATGACTGAAACTTTGGCATTAATGACACAATGTTCTACAGGTCTGAAGAAAATACAACACTCAGTTTCTCAGATTTAACTGAATTAAAGAGTACAGTATAGCCATTAATATAAAGTGACAATAAACAAGAATATAAAAAAATAAAAAAAAACATTGAACTGCAGACAATAAATATAAAATCATTTTTAAGTGTAAGAGTTTCAGAAACTTTGTGATCCAAAAACTAGCGATCCCTTCAATACATCTCATAATATCAGATGTTTTATTTTTTCAACATACCAGTTCAGGAGGCCCTCTGAACTCCAACATCCACATCCCTCCCTCAGAGTGCAATCATTCTCAAGTCCAACTAACCAGTTTTCCCTGAATTCCTTCATAAATGTTACCTTGCTCACGCTCCACCAGTATGTAATGTCGGTAAGACAATTCCTCATGGTTAGGTTTCACTACAATGACTAAAATCTTCTTCAGCAGATTGTCATCGTGATGCAATGTTGTTCCCACAAGCATTCAAGACCTTACATTGGGGGAATACTAAGTACACCTTCTCTTCAGGAAACACAAATTAGAGAGGTAGGAGAAAGCTCCCATATCTTTCACTTGGAGGAGCTGTACGTCTCCACAATACTCATAGAAACTAACTCCTTAATGCACTATTTGCTGGTCCTAGTGTTATGATTATCAATCACTAGGTGTGACAAATGGGCAGCCTAGAAAAAATCATTGAAAAATTCTGCAACAAAACAGAAAAGTCTATCTTTTCAACCAAGCGCAGATCTACTCCTTGTCAATATCATGAGTTTCAGCACACTTCAACTGAAGATGCATTTTACAATTAGTAATTTTCTTTCACCTTCCCAAGTCCTATTTTGTAATTTTATAACATCCTAGGGTGACATTTTCCCATAAGAACATGTACCTAATGTTGAAAATGCATGGAATAGGTAGTAGGTTACTAAAAACAGCAAAGTTTTTATGCAAAGAGGGAGACTACTTCCCAGTAAAAGAATGACCTAGACAGGAATGTGTGACATCACCATAGTTCTTTAATATATTTATGGATTGGGTTGTAAAATGAGTGAATGCTAGTGTTGGGGAGAGGTGAGGGATATATTGATACTTATCTGATACAAAGTGGGAGCTGTCATAGTTGCTCTTTGCCAATGACAGTTCTTTAGGGAAATTCTGAAGAGGCTGCAAAGGGTTGGTGGATGAAGCTAGGAGGATATAAAGTAAATATTATAACAATAACATTCATTTTAAAGTAAATTATAAATAAAACATTAGCTACAAAAAAAGAACACAAGAGTTCACATACAGTATAACTATACATAAGCTGACAAGAAGCCGATGTGATGCAGCCAATAAAGTACATGACTGTAATACAGTAGCACAGTACTGGGTATACCATTTCCTACTAACCGCAGGCCCGTGCACAGCAGCGAGGCTTCCTATATCAGGGTAGTGCTGTGATGCCAAGGACCCACGTAAGGCCCTTGGGCGGCCATGCCCTGGAGGAGAGGGAGGCACCAAGAGAGAAGAAGGTCCTGCATCTGACCCATACATAGGTCCAACAAGGAGCAACGGATGTTAGGTAAAAACAACGCTGCAAACAGACCTTGTCCTCTCGCCTGAAAATGCGTTAGTAGCAAAATCAAGTTAATTACTAGCATGCAAAGTAAATATCACCATTATACAAAATTCACAGCACCTCAGGTGGGATACACTTACATGTTTTTGGACTCCTGTTTAGTCTTAGAGTTTCATTCTTGCTACAATTACTCCGCCCACTGATAGAAACTTGATCTTAATAGGAAATAGGCAGAAGGTTACTTTAAGAAATACATTTTAACACTAAATTTAAAAGATGGGAGTTTTAAAACAGTTGTTTGGGAAGTCTGTCAATTAGATCAAGAATCTATGTGGCACACTGTGGTTATTAGGTAAAAGGACGCATGTTCAACTAACGCGACATTTTGTGGCAAAACGTTGCCACAATCCCATAACTTGTTTGCTAGCGTACTCGCTCCCACACTAAGGTACAGGTGGAAACACTAGGATGCATTTCCTTAAGACACCTGCTGTCTCTATTCACCTATCAGTAAAATAGGTACCTGGGTGTTAGTCAGCTGGTGAGGGTCACATCCTGGAGACAAAACTGACCTAGTTTGCCCAAAATTCTCTACATAACCAGGGGCTCTCCATACATTAGTATGTCACTGGTGTTAGCCAAGCCTGTATACCTTGTACATGTACTTGTAGAAAAAAAAAAGATTATATGTATTATTACAATTAAATGTTGCATTAGTTGCACGTGCATCCTTTTTACCCAACATTTCTAGCTGTTCCTGTAGACAGTGCTAAAAACCTTTTACAAGTTTCTGACAACCTTTTTTGATTCTGTGTGTGACTTTCACATCCATTTTTTATGAGCTAACAAGACACGAGAGGCAGTTTCTGTTGGTGCATTTTGTCTTTCTTTGCAAGCAATTTTGTAGTTTGTCTCTGGATCTTTTCTTATTTGACTCGTGAAATTTTAATCACATGGAGAGTGATTCACCACTGGTTCAAACCCCACCTGTACCATGGTTTCTTTTCGTATTGATTTAGCGTACTGAGCATGGTTTTTTTTCTCTTTATAAGGACACCATGCCAAAATTTCTTTTCCCAATCCCTGTTGAGTATATTTGTTGCCCTTGTTAACCTAGAAATAAATGCATGGGTGTTAGGTGACTCTTGTGGGTGGCATCCTGGGGAAGTGATCAAAAGAACAGAATGAAAATAAGCCAAACTCAAAAGGTTTTAATTTTAGTGAGAGCAGGAAATAACCTAAATAATCGTTAATTATCTTCATTTTCGATTAAAAGTGGGATAATCGTTCTTTGCTAAAAATTGATTACCAACCTTGTGTCAGACTATACATTGTGGTACAAGTGTTGTATATAGGTTAAACCTTTCCACTCCCACCACCCTCTTCACCCACGCTGACACCCTCACCATCCTCTTCACCCACACTGACACCCTCACCACTGTCTTCACCCACACTGACACCCTCACCACCCTCTTCACCCACACTGACACCCTCACCATCCTCTTCACCCACAATGACACCCTCACCACTGTCTTCACCCTCACTGACACCCTCACCACCCTCTTCACCCACACTGACACCCTCACCATCCTCTTCACCCACACTGACACCCTCACCACCATCCTCACCCACACTGACACCCTCACCACCCTCTTCACTCACACTGACACCCTCACCACCCTCTTCACCCACACAGACACCCTAACCACCCCTTCACCCACACTGACACCCTCACCACCATCTTCACCCACACTGACACCCTCACCATCCTCTTCACCCACACTGACACCCTCACCATCCTCTTCACCCACACTGACACCCCTCACCATCCTCTTCACTCACACTGACACCCTCACCATCCTCTTCACCCACACTGACACCCTCACCACCATCCTCACCCACACTGACACCCTCACCACCCTCTTCACTCACACTGACACCCTCACCACCCTCTTCACCCACACAGACACCCTAACCACCCCCTTCATCCACACTGACACCCTCACCACCATCTTCACCCACACTGACACCCTCACCATCCTCTTCACCCACACTGACACCCTCACCATCCTCTTCACCCACACTGACATCCCTCACCATCCTCTTCACTCACACTGACACCCTCACCACCCTCTTCACCCACACTGACACCCTCACCACCCTCTTCACCCACACTGACACCCTCACCACCTTTATCCACACTGACACTCCCATCACCCTCCCACCCACAGCAACACTCCCACTGTCCTCTCCACCCACAGCAACACTCCCACTGCCCTCTCCACCCACAGCCGCACTCCCACTGTCCTCTCCACCCACAGCAACACTCCCACTGTCCTCTCCACCCACAACAACACTCCCATTATCCTCTCCACCCACAATAACACTCCCATTGTCCTCTCCACCAACAGTAACACTCCCACTGTCCACTCCACCCACAGCAACACTCCCACTGTCCTCTCCACCCACAGCAACACTCCCACTGCCCTCTCCACCTACAGCAACACTCCCACTGTCCTCTCCACCCACAGTAACACTCCCACTGCCCTCTCCACCCACAGCAACATTCCCACTGTCCCCTCCACCCACAGCAACACTCCCACTGACCTCTCCACCCACAGCAACACTCCCACTGACCTCTCCACCCACAGCAACACTCCCACTGTCCTCTCCACCCACAGCAACACTCCCACTGTCCACTCCACCTACAGCCACACTCCCAATGACCTCTCCACCCACAGCAACACTCCCACTGTCCTCTCCACCCACAGCAACACTCCCACTGTCCTCTCCACCCACAGTAACACTCCCACTGTCCTCTCCACCCACAGCAACACTCCCACTGTCCTCTCCACCTACAGCAACACTCCCACTGTCCTCTCCACCCACAGCAACAATCCCACTGTCCTCTCCACCTACAGCCACACTCCCACTGACCTCTCCACCCACAGCAACACTCCCACTGACCTCTCCACCAACAGCAACACTCCCACTGTCCTCTCCACCCACAGCAACACTCCCACTGACCTCTCCACCCACAGCAACACTCCCACTGTCCTCTCCACCCACAGCAACACTCCCACTGTCCTGTCCACCCACAGCAACACTCCCACTGTCCTCTCCACCCACAGCAACACTCCCACTGTCCTCACCACCCACAGCAACATTCCCACTGTCCTCTCCACCCACAGCAACACTCCCACTGTCCTCTCCACCCACAGCATCACCACCCATAGTTGTGTTAACAGCATCAATTACTTTGTTCACAGTGTGATGTAGTTCAGCTGGGCTTGTGAGGTCTCTGGGGAGACCTAATTTAACCAATTATATGGTCACACCTTGCCTTGGCAAACGTCTGTAGCCACGCCCACGTCTGAGGTCTTTTGTTCTTGACGGCATCAGACCTAGGCGTCAGGTCGTACACGTGGTTGTGGAGGGTGCTTGGACCACCATAAAAGCCCAAGGAAGAGCTGAGTAGGGAGATTCGAGCGGAGCTGCTGCTGGGGTGCAGAGCTCCTGAGCAGAGACTTCGAGCGGAGCTGCTGCTGGGGTGCAGGGCTCGGGAGAAGGCTGCTGAAGTCTCTGGAGGAGACTGTTGGAGGCACTGGGCAGAGTACTGGCTTGGCGCAGAACTCGTGCTGTGTAGGTCTTGGGCCCTGTGGCTTAGTTCCTGTAGTGAACTGTCCTCTGAACTATATTGTAAGTTACATTCATTTTGGTCAAGTTGATTGTGTTCCCTGTCTCACTGCTTATGTGTACCACCCCATTTATCTAAACCACAATAATGTTCTGTTCCCAAATATATTATTGTACAAAGACTTAATAATAAACTGTGTTTGGGTAGAATAATAATATTCACTGTCCCCGTTATTTATTCTTTTTTCTCCATTTATTTATGTTTAGTTAAAGTAGTGAGAGGGTGAGTAGTGTGGAGTGGTGGGTAGAGTAATGAGAGGTGAAGTTGTAGTCACCAGTGACCTCACATTACCTACCTACCTACCGCTCACCTCTCCTGTCATCTCCTACCACCTCGCCTGCATGTCCCCTACCTACTAACTCCCTCCTCTTACCCCCCATATTCCCCTAATCATTCCCCCCTACATGACAACAGCTCAGAACAAAATATTACTGATCTATACTACAGATGCCACTTAATTTTTCAAAAGACCACGCGTTGTATTCCCAGAAAGCAGCAAACCCACAGGGAACAGGATGTTCCAGAGATGGGACACAGAAACAAGGGGTCACAATTGGAAGGTGAAGACCCAGATGAGTCAAAGGGATGTTAGGAAGTATTTCTTCAGTCATAGAGTTGTTAGGAAGTGGAACAGCCTAGCAAGTGAGGTCGTGGAGGCAGGAACCATACATAGCTTTAAGATGAGGTATGATAAAGCTCGTGGAGCAGGAAGAGAGAGGACCTAGTAGCACTCTGTGAAGAGGCAGGGCCAGGAGCTGAGCCTCGACCCCTGCAACCACAATTAGGCGAGTACACAGTATCTTGGAAGAAATTACCAGATATCAGTTGTACATGGCCGGTGTACAATACCAACAACATAATGAATTAGACACATGTGCAACATCTGGGTATCTTTATTTGCAGATATTTTGCTCTCCAGTGGCTTTATTAGTCCAATACAAGGATATGATGTGAAGACTGTTGAACTAAGTACAAAAGAATGAGGTAATCAGTCCCTGAGTCTTGTAGTTGGTGAAGCACACTGTAGTCTTCAGGACTACAGTGCTCTTCACCAATTCTAAGGTAGAGGGACTAATTACCTCATCTTTTGTATATATTTCCACAGTCTTCACATTATGTCCTTGTACTGTATTAATAAAGCCACTGGAGAGCAAAACATCTACAAATGAAGATACCCAGATGTTGCATACATGTGTAATTCTATAGTTAACAGTTGGTGGCCACAACTGAGCCAGAATGAACCGAGGATAAAAGAGAGAGCTACTAATAATTATGCAACTGGTTCACCATTACACAATCATAAAAGTCCCACTCGCACAATCAATTTCATTATATTCATGGGGAGTTTACCTGGAGTTTACCTGGAGAGAGT